GAAAAAGTAGAGATCAAAGAAAACAACCATTGATGAGTGGGAGGAGGAGGAGAAGGGGGTGGAGGGATGGGACACGCTGATGATCAAGGTCCTCAACAAAATGTACCATCGTTGTCAAGCAGCAACAACGATGCTAGAATCATAATAAAAAATTTTGAAGCACCTTCCACAGAAATTCGAAGATCCACAAGAGAGAGAAGAATACCAGAAATGTATAACGATTATGAATTAAATAATGTTTCACTATTCAGTCTCTTTGCAAAGAGTGATCTCATAACAAATGAAATATTAATTGGAGATGACAAGTGGAGAAAAGATTGGAATGAAAAATCAAGTTTGAGGGGGAGTGTTAGAAATCAAACTTGATTTCAAGTTGAAATTGACAAAGTTGGCAAAAGGTGGCAAACACTAGAAGATTCTTGATTAATGAAGCATGATCTTGAATTACTTAAGAATTAAATGTGGAAAATAAACACGTGACAATTGATGATGGAAGAAAATTTCATTAAGACAAGGAACTCCATGTGGCAATACAAGAAGAATTTGGTAATTCCTAGATCTTTCATTAAGGAGGTTAATTACACTTATAAATATATATCTTTAGCATTAATATAAATGTATGCAAAGTGAAAGAGAAGGAATATGAAGATAGCTTAGAAAAGCCAGAATTAGAAATAACTTAGCAAAGCTATTAGAGAGAAAGGGTGAAGCTTAGCAAAGCTTAGAATATTGAGGTTGTGTTTGTAAACTAGCCGCATCTAGTGTTGTAGTGTTGTAGTATTGTACTATTGGGGTAACGTTGTTGTAACGTATTTTGTCTCGTATTAATAATAATTCGAGTTTTATAAATTACTGAGTGCCCATCTACGCTTTCAACAAGTGGTATCTAGAGCTTGGTTCGAGTTTAACGTGGTGGAGAAGATGGCCAACATGATTCAACCACAAATCCCGAGATTGACAAAGATGAATTATGGCAATTGGAGAATTCAAATGAAGGCGTTACTAGGCTCCCAAGATTGTTGGGATATCATCGATGATAGTTACACCAAGCCTGAAAATGCAGCAGCAGAAACAACCCTGACCAATGAAGAAAATAATGTATTGAAGGAATCCCGAAAAAAATAAAAAAAACGTTGTTCTTTATTTTTCAAGGAGTAGACGAATCTACCTTTGAAAAAATTTCTGATGTGACGATCACAAAACAAGCGTGGGAGATTTTGCAAAAATCTCTACAAGGTGCCGAAAAAGCAAATAAGGTACGTTTACAAACTCTTAAAGTTGAGTTTGAGATGTTAAAAATGAAAAATACAGAAAACATCGATGATTATATTAGCCGTGTAAAAGCGATCGTGAATGAAATGAAAAGAAATGGTGAATCACTTGACGAGATTATAGTGATGAAAAAAATTTTACGGTCATTGATAAGAAAATTCAATTATGTGGTTATAGCAATCGAAGAATCGAAAGATTTATCCCAAATATAGATCGATGATTTTGTGCGTTCACTTCAAGCCCATGAGCAGAAAATGAAACAAAATGAAGATTCTAAAATTTTGGAGCAATCTCTACAAAGCAATATGAATGTCAATAAATGAGAAGCTAGCAGCAGCTACATACGGGGTTGAGAAAATTATGGTGGTTATCGTGGAAGATACAGAGGAGGATTAAGAGGCCGAGGTAGAGGCAAATATCAACAAGGAAATAAATCCCAGGTACAATGTTATAATTGCAATAATTATGGTCATTATAGTTATGAGTGTAGATCTGCTCCTAAACAAGAATAAAGAAATAACGTAGGAGCAGCTGAAGAAGAAAAAATTGAAAAATCTCATGTATTCGTCACTCATAAAGAAAATGAAGAATTCAAGAAAAATATTTGGTATCTTGATAATTGTGCCAACAACCATATGTGTGGTCAAAAGGAACTGTTTGTGAAATTAGATGAAACAATCCATGGGCAAGTAACTTTCGGAGATGACTCGCACGCATAACTAAAAGGAAAAGCGAAGTCATGATTACTCAGAGAAATGGAGAAAAGAAATACATTTCAGATGTTTATTATGTACCTGTTTTGAAAAACAATATCATCAACCTTGGTCAACTTCTGGAAAAAGGATATGAAGTGCAGATGAAGAATCGCTCGCTTGCCATAAAAAATAAAGAAGGAGAATTGATAGCTCAAGTTGATATGACTTGAAATCGTCTCTTTACAATTGATATCGAGTCGGGAGAAGTCAAGTGCATGAAGACCGTGATCAAAGATGATTCATGGCTGTGGCATCTAAGTTATGAACATCTTGGATTTTCTGGATTGAAGCTGTTATAAAAAACAAGTATAGTGAAGGGACTACCAGAGATCAACCCTCCAAATCAATTATGTGAGGCTTGCATTAAAGGAAAGCAATAGAGACAAAGCTTTGAAGTTGGTAGATCCTGGCGTGCCTGAAGACCGCTGGAGATAGTACACACAGATATAGCCGGTCCTTTTGACATACTATCGCTTGGCGGTAACATGTACTACCTAACTTTTATTGATGATTTTAGTAGAAAATGTTGGATTTACATTTTGAAAGAAAAATCAGAAGCGCTGGAAAAATTGAAAGAATTTAAAGCAATGGCGAAAAAACAAAGCGGTCAATATTTGAAGATACTCAAATCAGATAGAGGAGGCGAATATACATCAAATTTATTTGAAGAATTCTGTAAAGAGCATGGCATCATCCATCAGCTGGCAGTTAGATACACGCCACAACAAAATGGAGTTGTAGAAAGAAAGAACCGTACAATTCTTGACATAGCAAGAAGCATGATAAAATGTAAACATCTACCAAGAAATTTATGGGCTGAAGCAGTTCAATGTGCATTTTACTTATTGAACAGATGTCCAACAAAAAGTGTGAAGTATGTGACGCTAAACGAAGCATGGAGTGGTCAAAAACCAGGAGTTGGACACCTCAAGATTTTTGGGTGCATCACATATGCCCACGTTCCTGATTCAAGAGATGTCGAGTTCGATGAAGCAGAATATTAGAGGTGGAGCAAAGAAGAAAATAAAGTTGAAGGACTATTTTTTAATGAAGATAAAGACAAAGATGACGATCTTATCAATCAAGATGAACAAGCTGATGATCAAGGTCCTCAACAAAATGTACCATCGTTGTCAAGCAGCAGCAGCGATGCTAGCAACATAATAAAAAATTCTGAAGCACCTCCCACAGAAGTTCGAAGATCCACAAGAGAGAGAAGAATACCAGAAAGGTACAACGATTATGAATTAAATAATGTTTCACTATTCAGTCTCTTTGCAAAGAGTGATCTCATAACAAATGAAGAATCAATTGGAGATGACAAGTGGAGAAAAGATTGGAATGAAAAATCAAGTTTGAGGGGAAGTGTTAGAAATCAAACTTGATTTCAAGTTGAAATTGTCAAAGTTGGCAAAAGGTGGCAAACGCTAGAAGATTCTTGATTAATGAAGCATGATCTTGAATTACTTAAGAACTACGCATGAAAAATAAACATGTGACAATTGATGATGGAAGGGAATTTCATTAAGACAAGGAACTCCATGTGACAATACAAAAAGAATTTGGAAATGCCTAGATCTTTCATTAAGGAGGTTAATTACCCTTATAAATATATGTCTTTAGCATTAATATAAATGTATGCAAAGTGAAAGAGAAGGAATATGAAGATAGCTTAGAAAAGCTAGAATGAGAAATAGCTTAGCAAAGCTATTAGAGAGAAAGGGTGAAGCTTAGCAAAGCTTAGAATATTAAGGTTGTGTTCGTAAACTAGCCACAACAAGAGTTGTAGTATTGTAATATTGGGGCAACGTCATTGTAACGTATTTTGCCTCGTATTAATAATAGTTCCAGTGGTATAAATTACTGATTGTCCATCTACACTTCCAACAGAAACATATATAGTTAGTCACATGTTCGTGGATTTCGGTAACAGACAGTAACTGTGGTTTTTGCTTTTTAATTAACGGTGACAGCTAAACATCGTCGGTAGAAACAAGTTATAAAACCCAAGCTTAAACTTCAACCGGTTTTTTCTGTTGACTTGACTTCGTAAAAATTAATGAAAATAATATAATGCACAATTTAAATGGGTTTCTAATTGATTAATTATTAAAACAGTGAGACTATCCGCATAAACAAGATGCTGTGTTTTCTAATGTTTGGAGAATACGGTTTTCTTTTTAAGACAAAATATTAACTTCTTTTATTACAGATGCTACACTTAAATTTGACAGTAATTTAATTTTGCTCATTGAACTTTTAAACTTGCACTATAATCATTAAATTTTACTATGGTTGCTGTCGTTGCTCGGATCATTTGCACCATCACGGCACGCCATTCTTCTTATTGTCGTCACCACTAAATGGTTCTTCTTTTCCTCAATCAATTCCCTCGTTTAGATTCGCCCGAAGCCGAGTAAAAGTACCATATCATCGCCTCATTTCATCTTCATTTCTGACGTTATTGTTTACTACTTTTTTTTTCTTTATTTATTTACTTGCTTTTGTTATTTTTTATCATCTGTTGTTATTGGTAGTTGTGACTGCGAGCAGTGACCAAATACGATTGGCGATGATGATTTAAGTTTCAGTTGATTTGGTCGTGGATAGTAAAGGAGTTTTGATTTTGTTTAGAACTTGGATGAAATGATAATGATGAATGATTACATAGTCGTGAAAAGATAGTAAAGCTCTCGAGTATGGTAGATGTTGAGTATGGTAGATGTTGTTTTAGTGACGGTGACAATCTAAAGAACATTAAATGACGACAACATAGGTTATTCGAGTAGAGACGGTCAATTTGGAAGCTCTGGGTTTTTTAGGGGTAGACTTTTTAAAAGAATTAGTAATTGTAATGCTAGTTTTAAAAATTCAGCGACTAAAGTGAAAATGCCATAAATATCGAGTGATTTATTAGTACAATTTACCCTTAAATTTTTACAATAGAAAAGAAAAATCAACTCAAGTTACCAAGACCAATGAAAAAGCGATGATACACCTTTCTTCAACTTTTACTTCCATTGTTCCATTAGCTAAATGAACCAAGATTTGAGTGTACATTGTACAAAGATTTCCATTTCCTTGTAATTTACCAGAGAACTCCACTTGAAGATATCCCCAATAAATGAAACCTTTGGCTCTCCAAAGCTACCTTCTATACGTTGCTTCAACTATGTATGTATGTATGTATGTACAATCACAGTTGAAATTTGGTCTGGTAAATGTCGAACTCTTCAGAAGCTGAAAGAAGAGGCCTCTGTTTATATCACAAGAAAATTTGTAAATACTCGATGACGCACTCAAAAGAAAGAAAAATTAAACACACGTACAAATTTTGTATATTATTATATTTAGGTCAAATTACCATTTTCCTTCCTGAATTATATTCATTTTGGGAATATAGTCTTTATATTTTAATTTGGCACGATTTGATCCTCCGATAGTAAGAGGATCCAGTCATGTTAAATTAAAATAAATGGACTGAAACTGCAAATTAGGTATGATATAAGGATGAAAATCTTGTCTTAATGTATGATTGGATGAATCAGTTCTTTAGTTCTAGAAATGGTCATAATTCAAACTCAATGAGTTGTGTAAGTGGTAAAATGGAATATTGTTCTCCCTAGAGGATTTGAGCTCGAACACCTGTGTTTGCAAGGTGTGTACATTATCAATAATCTAAGAAAAAAAAACTGAATGAATATTATTTTATGATCATACCATCTATTAAAAAAAGGAAATGACTATAATTCGTGTTAATTTTGTTCGAATTATAAATCGCAACTTGTTAAGAATTACCTGTGTGAGATTGGGACCACAAATTGTGCTTAAAAATCCAGAACCACCGGCGCAACCTTGCTGGTTAGCTTGATCGATTTTGTCTTGCATCTTGTCAAGTAATTTCCCGTATGATATACCTGGGTTTCCTCTTACAACTTCTATTAAAATGTATGTCAATGCACCGCTCATCTGCTTCGAACTAAATGCCTGCAGTTATTTTACCTTGAATTCATCACCTTTTATAAATGTGGTACTAGTGTTTTTCGAACAAATTTACTACTTGTATTTATCAAAAGTTACACATTTGTGAACCAATATGGTACATGAATTTAAAAATGACTACAATATGGTACATGAATTAGACAATTTTAACATGTACCCCGTTTTTGGTTGTTGAAATACCATGTAAAAATGTAAACTTCAATGTCCAAAATGTGTAACTTTTAACAAATACATGTATCAAATTTGTCAAGAGAAATATAGATGCTAATTTTGTAAAAGGTTAATTAATAAATTATGTTCCAAATTTGTATATTAATCCTTCAAAGTATATATATATGAGTAGTTTATTGTTTACTCACAGTTGTGTCAGCAGCAACCTGGTCATCTTCACAAGCACTGATACAATAAGCTTTTCCACCCCTTGTTTGTTTTCTCTTCCCCGATGGAGGCTTGTTATCTGTCCATTCCTTTCTAGCCATAGGAGGAAGATATTAGAATCCGATTCTCAATAAAACAAAAGCACGCATCCATTGAGTCAAATGATCGAACATCTAAAGCGCATTACTTCACATACATATGTATATTTATACATCAGTCATGGAAATGTGGAACTTACTTTTCTCTATCATAGACGTGCTCTAGATCAAGAATAGTTCCGCTATGGCAAGCATCAACAATGGCATGAAGCTTGACACCATGAATGAGCGGTTTAACAATGGTGTCATAGATGTCATTGTCGAGGATCATGCCTTCTTTCAGAAAATCAACAGGGCAGATCGTCTCGTCGAACCCATCAAGCTCGTCGTTTTCAAAATCAGGTTGCCGTAACCCATGGCCGGAGTAATAGAAAACCAGCGAATCACCTGATTTGCAGTCCTTCACCAGCCATTTCAAGCAGTTCTCGATGTTTGCCTTCGTTGGTATAAGCCGGGCGTCTGGTTGTTCCTCTGCCGATTCACAATCCCCACTTTCATTGCTTAAATTGGATCTCATTTTAACTTCATATAATATCAAAATTAGCCTGTTTATCAAAATTAACTTTTTTTTTTAAATATTTTGACGTAACTGCTTGAACCAAGACGAACAATAATCTCTCTAAACATTGAGGTCCTTTGATAAGTTAAAAAAAACCCTATTTTAAAATGTTAACTATCAAATTACATTTCTAGAAAAACTTTTTTATTCTAAAAAAAACATCGAATATCAAAATATTCTAAAAGAATATAAATTAAAATAGCTATTTAATCGAACATTAAATATTCTAAAATAATATAAATTAAAATAGCTATTTAATCGAACATTAAAATGTATTTATGATATTATACCTTATAACTTGGACAAGTTTTAGGAAACATATCACAAATCTACAAGCAAACGTTTTTGAAACGTGGCATAGAAGATAAGATGAATGATAAAATACCTGTGAGAAGTAGCATGTTTTCCTCCTCATATTTATACTGTTCAATCAACAAATTTTTCATGTTGAACACATCGTTTATGGTACCTTTGAGCTTATACTTCCACTTTTTGTAGCTCACACCACAAAGCACGGCACGTTTGTCACCCAATTCCCCAACTTTATCCAGACCGCAAGTCTTAGGGTAACGGTCCGACGACTGCCCCGAAGCCAATTGCGGTCGCAGGGGACAATACAACAGGATTCTGCATAGCAAGTTGCGTATGAGTGAGAGAACTAAACTGTCTTGGTCTCCACCGGCAGGCGTCGGCGACTGTTTCCTTAGCGGCCGATTGGGGTTAACCTCACGGCAATGCGGGCAAATAACGGTCTCGGCTGTGGTCGAGGCTGAAAACTTTTGACGGCAGTTTTCGCAAACAAGTCTGTTTTCCATATCAACCTGACAAGCTATGTGTGTTTCATTGGAAGGGAAGTTATGATTTGATGCTTAAATGAACATTCAACATAGACGAAAGGTGCATGGGGTGGGGCATTCCTTGCTTCCAAATATGCCTTCAGTTTTAATATTATTCTTTTCACAACTTTAGAATTGTAATCTTCATCATAATCAATATGATTCCATCTTTTTTTACAGAATATTTTACAATATATATTGGTATAATTAGAAATTTAATTTTTAATATATATAATTTTTAAATCGACAATTATTGTTTTTAATTAAATTTAGTCCCAGACTTTCATAAACAAGCTTTTTTTAAAGGCAAATGTTGAGGGAACATTAAATTTTAACAGTTTTGAGATGATAGACTGCATGTCAATATACAAGTACTACTAGTTTTTTTATACGACACAATAAGAAATAATTAAATATTCAAAAAATAAAATATCTAAAAATTAATAAATGTATTTTTTTTCATAAAGTTTATATATATTAAAAATTTAAAATTACTAAATTAATTGTCAAATCATTTGAAAAAATACTTAAAATATTATTACTTAAATAAATAATTTCTCTAAATTTATTTATCATCTATAATTTATATAATCGTTCATGATATGCTTGCAAAAGAACCGAACGAGTGTATGTTCATGTTTGTTCGTTTAACTTTAAACACGAACAACTAAACCAATAATATTTTTTGTTTGTGTTTATTCATTAAGTAATTTTCTTGTTCGTGTTTGTTCATGTTTGTTCGTTAAAATGATAATCAAACAGACATAAACGAACACAAAAGAATGAACATATAGGAACGAACACATAAAATTAATTGTTTTTATATTTGATAATACATATTGTTCAAGGGTTGCAGTGAGCCTTCGATTTACTACCTTGAGACATATTGGTTTTTAATATATTAAAGCATTCAAGTCACACATACGTAATTCTACATTTACTTAGAATTAAGGTAAATATATTTTGAACTTCACAAATTAAATTAATCAATAAATGGATTTAGCATTATTTGATATTAATTCTTGAACTCAGTCCACTGTGTTGTCAATACAGACAAACACTACATCTATGTTTCTATTTAAGAGTCAACCTGCTCTGATAGTCAATGCAAATCCTTTCATATTTGAATTTTAAACAACATAATAATTCTCAGATTATTGACTCGCTTAAACTATAGATAATATCAATATTTTTATATTTAAAATAATTATATAATACAACTTATAATTAATTAAATCATTTAATAATCAATGAATAGATATGTATATTAACTTGTTTTATATATAATTTCAAATATTAAGAGCACAATGTGCATAAAAATAAGAGAATAACGTATAAATTTATTTATACAACAGTTACCCACGACATGGCTTTAATTAGTGGACTAATTGATTGATGTAAAATGAAAGTAGGAAAAAGGGTTTATAGTGATAGATTTAGTTGAAGGTTTGGGTTCCGGCAGATGCATTTCTTATATTCTTGGGAGATTTGATTGATAAAGAAAGAAAGAAAAGAATGAGATGCGTTTTGCTTTCAAACACTGTGCCTATAGCCATTGCTGCTGCTTCTACTTTACTCCTGTCTGATTCTTGCTTAATGTATAATTCGAGGTAAGTATAAAGTAATATATGATTATAGATAATTTTTTACTATTTTATATTAAATATTTACTTTCCTAATATTTCTGTACTCAAACCCGATACACACAATTTACTGTTGCTGACACGGATGCTACACTAAAATAGTATCATTTAGAGGAATTCGAACTCTTGTCCACTGTATCAACTTGAACTTTTATACATTACCCAATTTAAAGCAGTGCATCTTTTTAGTTTTGACCCCAAATTTAAGGTTCTCTGAATCGGAACACTTCACATGGTGCTTTTCACACTTGAGGATTGTGATTCTCAATCATGAAATTTAACGTGCGGTCCAAATGTTTCGATTTCATTTCTCACAACTTTGTGTCTTGTAAGTTCCAAGAACCTTATCCAAACGAAAATATTGAATTCTTTTTCCTTTATTCGATAGGGGAATCGTGCATTTAATTACGGCCCACAATTTTGATGGACAAGTAGAATATTATGGTTGGACCAATACTAATACACACACAGCACAAGTGTACACAAACCGCCCATTGACATCATCTCCCATTCACCGACAGTGCGAAAGAGAAAAGCAGATATATAGGAGGATGAAATAGTATGGAATACGGCGTTTTTGGAGAAAAAATATTCAAATATTATATCTTATGCACCGTTTGTTCAAATTTTATTGATGTAACATTTCAAGAAGCATTGCGATAAATGCACATTTGTTTAGGTGGAGCAAAGGCGTATCTCCTAAAGCACGCATTCTAGAAAAAACATTGATATGATATTATGTGTGAAGAAACGTTTCAAGAGGCTTGCTTTTCAAGATTTTCTTTTTACATTACATTTTCTAAAAGTATTTTACAAAATATGTTTTAAAAAAATTGAAAAATAAAACTATAGTAACTAACATAGTAATTTAATACATACCAGTTTCATGAGTTGAAGAGTTTAATAGGCTTAGATTATATAGACATATTGAAGTGTTTAAGTTATGTTTATTGATAATGTGGGATAAAAACTAAAATGTATATTCCTTAATTTTTTTTATCTTTTTATCTAATAAATCTACTTATACACTATTGTTAAATTACATTAGGAATTAAAGTTTATATTAATTAAGATTAGATATTTTTGATAGGTACTAAATACTATTGTCAATCCATATAATTTAGAAATATCAATTTTACTTCCAAAATTACAAACAAGTTGGATCACACTTAAATATTGTTTGTAAGATGCACCTTTTAGCTTTTATCTCACATTGTCAATAAATATAACTTAAACACTCTAATATGCCTATATAAACTAACCTCATTAAACTCTTCAACTCATGTAACTAATATGTATTAAATTATGATGTTAGTCCATATAATTTTATTTTTTAATTTTTTAAAGCATATTTTTAAAAATGCTTTTAAGGAATCTGATGTGATAAAAAAACCCTATAAAGTGCGCCCTTTGAAATGAGTCTTTCCACGTGGTGCCATGTCAACATTTCCCACGAGCACGACCACGAGCCGAGCCGAGCCGAGTCGGACGGCGACGGCGGCACACGAGAGTTTCCCTTGTTCTCTTTCACTCAACAAGGAAGTGGGAATTCCATACTATAAATACCATTCCCAATAGTGTTTCCAATACCATGTGGGATTGAGCATTACCAACACTACTTGCCTTAACTAGTTTCCAGCTCTTTATTTTGTTGACATTTAGATTTTTTATTCTAAATTGTACTCTTCATTTTTTTCCGCCTCGAATTGTTATACTTATAACAAATCTCGTATTGTTTAAACATGAAAAAATTTCAAATATTTAAATATAACATTTTAAATGTAAACTCATTCTGTGATTAAAAAATACAAATACAAGTGAGTTATCGTTGTCATCCGACTTATGCTACTGCAAATATGTGTTGCACGCATTTATTTATTTTTAGACAAATTTCATATCATTTTAATCTCTTTTTTCATTCTTTTATTTTGATTCAGCCTTCAAAAATTCCTGTCAACTTTTATCGCATCAACAAAAAAGATTGCCTCTTAGAAAAATGTATTTTGAAAATCACATTTGGCGGACATATTTTTAATAAAATGTGTAAAACTCAAGAGTTTGTTATAATTAGTGTTAATTCAAAAGTCAACTTTTTCTAAAATGACATTTGATTAAAAAGGCCCCTAAAACACTTTACTTAAAGTACAAACAAAACAAAGCTCTCTCTCTCTCTGTCTCTGTCTCTGTCTCTGTCTCTCACCTTCACCAATGTGCTGATAAACCAATTGAAAAACGTCTTCCAATGTGCAGCCAAATTAAACCCATGTGCTTCCGTTATTTTCCGCATAAACGGTATGCTGTGTTTGCCAATGTTTGAACGAATACGGTTTTCTTTTTAAGACAAAATATTAACTCCTTTTATTACAGATGCTACACTTAAATTTGAGAGTAATTTAATTTTGATCATTGAATTTTTAAACTTGCTTTATAATCATTAAATTTTACTGTGGTTGCTGCTGTTGCTCGGATAATTTGCACCATCACGACACGACATTCTTCTTATTGGTGTCACCACTAAACGGTTCTTCTTTTCCTCACTTAATTCCCTCGTTTAGATTCGCCCGAAGCCAAGTAAAAGTACCGAATCATCGCCTCATTTCGACTTCATTTCTGACGTTATTGTCTATTAACTTGTTTTTTCTTCATTTATTTACTTGCTTTTGTTATTTTTTTTATTATCTGTTGTTATTAGTAGTTGTTACTGTGGGCAGTGACCGAATATGATTGGTGACGATGACTTGTGTTTCAGTTGATTTGATCGTGGATGGTAATGGAGTTTCGATTGTATTTAGAACTTGGATGAAATGATAATGATGGATGATTAAATAGTCGTGAAAAGATAGTGAAACTCTCGAGTATGTTAAATTATGTTTCAATGACAATTTAAAGAACATAAAATGACGACAACACAGTTGATTTGAGCAGAGACTGTCAATTTGGAAGCTAAGGGTTTTTAGTGGTAGACTTTTTTTTATAAATAGTAACTGTAAAGCAAGTTTTAAAAAATTCAGTGACTAAAGTGAAAATGTTGTAAATATAGAGAGATCATTAGTATAATATACCCTTAAATTTTTACAATAGATAAGAAAATTCATCAAGAGCCAATGAAAAATCAATGATACACCCTTCTTCAACTTTTACTTTCATTTTCCATTTGATAAATGAACCAAGATTTGAGTGTACATTATACAAAGATTTCCATTTCCTTGTAATTTACCAGAGAACTCCACTTGAAGATATCCCCAATAAATGAAACCTTCGGCTCTCCAAAGCAACCTTCTATATATTGCTTCAACTATGTATGTATGTTCAATCATAGTTTAAATTCGGTCCGGTAAACGTCGAACTCTTCAGAAGCTGAAAGAAGAGGCCTCTGATTACATTCAAAAGAAAATTTGTAAATACCCAATGCCAAACTTA